CAGCCCCCGGGTTCAGTGAGATCCTGTGCGCCTGTCCCTGCCCACATGCAGTTGCGACTCATTGCTTTAAACAAGACCTAGGTTTGCTTTTTGTTTTAGCATTAAAGGATCTGTCCCCCAGCTAAGCTAATCAGTTCAACTGGAAATGGATATTGAATTTTATCAAATGCTTTCTATATGTCAATAAGCATATTGTTTTCCTCCTGGCAAAAATGCAAGGGCCTTATCTATGAATACAGTAAAGGGTTATCTTATTTTCTAATAGTCTGTGGGGAAGGATTCTTTGCTCAAATTGTCTTTTGGTGCTGGTAACAACTCACGTTAACTTCATAGATAACAGATGTTCCTTCTTATTTGTATTCTGGAAGTTTCCTAGTAGAGTAAATTCCTACCCTTAAGTTTCAGCAACAGCTCATGTGGAAGTCTTCCAGGACTGGTGTGTATTTGGAAGTTTAGTTCTTAAACACTCTCTTGAAACCGTAGAGCGGTTTTTCTCTCTCTTTCCATTTGAGTCCGTTTTGGTAACTGCATCGTCAATTTTTAAACTTTCCAGGGCTGTGTCTCTTAGCTTCCAAAGTGTTTCCAGCCTTCATGCTTTTTCCAAATGTTGCTGCCTTTTTCATGATTCCTTCTTCACTGGGGCACTGAAGTTCCTCTCAGTTCTCTGGGTTTTGGATGGTGGCAGACACAACAACCAGATGGCGCAGAAGCTCAGGCAGTTTGATAGCCAGCTTCCGCTGCACCATTCTCTGCCCACAGATGTCATGCCTCTCTGTTGTCCCCTACACTCCCCTTGGAATCACTTGTCCTCCCCAGGGCTATCTCCAGTTTCACGTGAATACTGCTGCTGTTACAGGAAGCATTTAATGATGTGTTGATATGAACTGAACCAAAGAATCATTTTTGGTAACTGAACCAAAGAATCATTTACAAAACCCACGCTCTGAATGTGACCTGTGTTTCCATTCATAACACTCTTTCCTAAACTGGATCATTTCCCTCCTTGTGTGTGGAATTCACTAAGGACCAACCTTCCAAAGCTTAAGTTATGTTATTTCCTTTAGCTCTAAATTCCAAGGCTTTAGGAGAGCCAACCATTGCCCCGCATGGAATGAGCTGACTGGGCATTCCTCTCTCTTGAAGTCATTGCATTGGATTTGAAGAAAATCCAGGTTTGAGTCTTTCCCCTAGTTTCCTTTCTCTCCATGCAGGTTTCAGTACAAGGACTACCAGTATGTTCTAGCTGTGGTCTTTGCCACGAAGAAATCAATAGGAAGCCCCATCTTTTTACACGACGTGACTATGGGATTTGATGTCTGCAATGCCCGGCACAGTGAACAGGGGGCGCTGGAGAGCTCCCTCATCTGGCTGCCCGGGCTGGGCAAGGACATCCCGAATTAGACCTGCAGGAGAGAGAGCAAGGCTGTAGCAGTACTTACGGGAACTACACAGGCAATCTCTGCCCGGATTGGAGCACTGCTGGAACTCTACAGGTTTCCACCAGGGAAGGCTGGGTGGGATGGGAGAGATGAAACCACGTGTCCTTTGGTGCCATCCTCAGGTGCCTCAAAAGGATGGAAGGAGGGAACTGGGCTTATGCATCCCTCGAGGGGTAAAACCTTACAGAGTAAGGGGACGGAGTCTTGGTGACGTGTGTACATTTCCTTTGCGCAGAGTTCAGAGGAGGATGAGGAGGAAGGAGACAAGGTATTTCCTGGAACTCCCGAGCCTGATCCGTTATTTTCCAGAAAGCTCTCAGGGAGTGGGAAATGACTGGAAAATGAAACGAGCAAATCTTCCCTTCGACCGCTTGCAGGTGTTGCTGAATAGCCTTCAGCACCCAGATAGTGCTTTTTGCCGATCTTCTTCCTCTGATTTCCTCCAATTTCCGTTCCCCTGTAGCTTACGTCTGGTCCTTTTGATCCTGAATGAGCTGACTGGGCATTCCTCTCTCTTGAAGTCATTGCATTGGATTTGAAGAAAATCCAGGTTTGAGTCTTTCCCCTAGTTTCCTTTCTCTCCATGCAGGTTTCAGTACAAGGACTACCAGTATGTTCTAGCTGTGGTCTTTGCCCCGAAGAAATCAATAGGAAGCCCCATCTTTTTACACGACGTGACTATGGGATTTGATGTCTGCAATGCCCGGCACAGTGAACAGGGGGCGCTGGAGAGCTCCCTCATCTGGCTGCCCGGGCTGGGCAAGGACATCCCGAATTAGACCTGCAGGAGAGAGAGCAAGGCTGTAGCAGTACTTACGGGAACTACACAGGCAATCTCTGCCCGGATTGGAGCACTGCTGGAACTCTACAGGTTTCCACCAGGGAAGGCTGGGTGGGATGGGAGAGATGAAACCACGTGTCCTTTGGTGCCATCCTCAGGTGCCTCAAAAGGATGGAAGGAGGGAACTGGGCTTATGCATCCCTCGAGGGGTAAAACCTTACAGAGTAAGGGGACGGAGTCTTGGTGACGTGTGTACATTTCCTTTGCGCAGAGTTCAGAGGAGGATGAGGAGGAAGGAGACAAGGTATTTCCTGGAACTCCCGAGCCTGATCCGTTATTTTCCAGAAAGCTCTCAGGGAGTGGGAAATGACTGGAAAATGAAACGAGCAAATCTTCCCTTCGACCGCTTGCAGGTGTTGCTGAATAGCCTTCAGCACCCAGATAGTGCTTTTTGCCGATCTTCTTCCTCTGATTTCCTCCAATTTCCGTTCCCCTGTAGCTTACGTCTGGTCCTTTTGATCCTACCCTGAGTGACAATGAGCAGCGTCCCCCTCTCTACCAGATGGACACGTCTCTGGCCCTTGCCATGGTCTCTCTGATGCCTCATTTCAGTTGGACCTGGGTGGGGCTGGTCATCCCAGAGGACAAGAGAGGTGCTCAGTTTCTCTCAGACTTGAGAGGAGAGAGGGACGGGAATGGAATCTGTGCAGCCTTTGTGGAAATGATTCCTGTCCCTGAGAGGTCGTATTCCTCACTCTCCTTGTTCTGTCATTTCCGGATCAGGGACTCATCTGCGAATGTGGTTTTCATTTGTGGTGATACTGACTCTCTCATAAGCTTGAACTTCTCTAAATGTCAGCTTCTAGTGATATGGGAACTCCGGGTCACCACCTTGCAGTGGTATTTTACTACCAACGAGAGACAATTCACACTTGACTCATTCCAGGGGACTCTCTTATTTTCACATCCCCCCGCTGAGATCCCTGGTTTTGAAAATTTTATCTAGAAAGTTAAGCCTTCCAAATACCCAGATGACGTTTACCTCGCTAAACTCTGGTTCATCTCTTTTGATTGCACAGTTTCTGAGTCTGACTTTAAAACACTGGAGAACTTTCCAGTCCATGCCTCCTTGGGACGGTTGCTTTGGCAGCGTTTTGACAGTTTTATCATAATGTGTCTTGGAGAGGCTTTCTTTATGTTAAGTTTGTTTGGTAACCTAGGAACTCTGTGAACTTGGACGTCTCAATCTTTCCACCTCTCTTTAAAGCTCTCCAAAATACCGATGCATCTGCCAGTGCATCCAAGCTCCGTAACACACCCAAACTCCTATTATTTTGCTCCAGCAGTGTGCTGAAACTTCTCCTCTGGGAACCCGGACTTCCAAAAGGCTCTCTCGTCCATGTGTCATGGTCTAAGCATGTCCCAAGGGCTCCTATACAGAGGCCAAGAGGGGCTGGAGTCAGTTCTTGGGCCACTGCAGAGTCCACAGGTGGAACTGCAGGACTGTGCCTCTTGAGCACAGACTGAGCATGTGGGAATAGTAAGTCTTGTACCCACCTGACAGCAGGGAGGGACAATTTACTGCATCTTTGGGCTTCCATTGGCCAATAGTGCTCTGACAGTCACCATAAAGAGGCCCATGTTTGCAGTGAGGGTCATGCATTGTGCAATATTTTTTTACGTTCATGTAAATTTAATATATGTATATTTATATGCATATATCTGCATATATATAATACTCCCATGCTTATTCATAATAGACTAAAGAAATAAGACAAAAATCAAATGCATGTTTTTTTGGCTGGTCAACAGTTTTAAAATAAAATTGATAGAGAACTTCTATGAAATATGAAAATTTTAGCAAGATGCTGCCGTCAATTTCTTCATCTGTAAAATGGAGATAGATAGTAGCATCTTTTCAGGAGTCATGTATGTAAAATATTTATCATCATGTAAGTTGGAAATTAATGCTCCATTCATTTTTCCACCAGGATGACTATGTCGTTTTTTTTTAAATTAAGTCTGTAGTTTTCAAAAACATTCTGTCATCACAAAGTGAATCATTTTAATAAGTTCTTTGTAGAGTCTGACAATCCTATTGGAATACCAATTTTGGTTCTGTATGTGTGTGTATTTGCGTGAACACACGTATTTCTCAAATAATCCTATAGGCCTTATAATGGAAAGCCACTTTCCCCACTCTTCTCTTTGACTCCCAGTAACAACTGCTAAATTATTTTTCTGGTTGTGATTCTGTTTCTAAATCAGCCAGTTATACAGTTTTTAACTTTTTTCTAATTACTCTTCTCTGAAAAAATGAGCATGTAGTTTTCTTGCACATCTTAAAACATAATTCCTTTGCCCAAGATGGTTATTTAATGAATAAAGAGAATCAAAATTTGATGCCTATTGTTTTATTACATATTTACCATTTTATGACATGAACCTTTTCCAGAGATGTGCCAAGTCTGATATTATAAATACATTTTTTCTCACTTTTTCTTTTGAGCTCTTGAATTTTAAAATCTCTTTTTCTTTGTTTCTTTCTACGAATCCAACATTGATTCATCCCTCTCCACAAGAAATTTGAATCTCTTCAAGTAAATCCAGATGCATGAGACAATTTGTCGGCTTCAGTTTGTGCTTGAGGACGAACATCCGTCTGGGGCTTGAACGTGTACATACACAGACCCACACCCTATCTGGGAGGATAGAGGAGAAAAGGATGTTTATCTCTGGGCAAAAGGAGTGGGTGGCGTTGCGGGAAAGGTAGAATATTTTACTGACTTTGTAGCACTCTTTTAAGTTTTTCTTTATGAGTATCTTTGAACCTACTCTTGTATGCCCCTCAAAATCTTAAATCAAAATATCGTTAGATCCCTATCTATTGGCTTGTGACAACAAGTTGTAGAGAAATGTGCATGTATGATCTTATTTTTAAATAAATTAGAACAGCAAATATGCGCTAAAAATTAAAAACCTTAAATATGGGCCTGTCATTCTATTGGGCTATGTCACGCGGTAAGGACAGGGGTTAGGATCCACAGAAAGCCCCGCCTCCAGTACCTCTGAGCACCATCCCTCATAGAGATTATAGCCCCGCCCCAGGCCTGGTGCTCACTCACAGCCCCGCCCCGGAACTGACTCCGCTCACATCCCCGCCCCCGGAACCGGACTCCGCCCACAGCCCCGCCCCAGGCCTGGTGTACGTAACAGCCCCGCCCCCGGAGCTGGACTCCGCCCACTGTCCCACCCCTAGAGATGACTTTCGTCCGTCATGCCGACCCACCCAGGGCCCAACCCGGCGCTTACTAATTAAAACTAGAACCCCTCCTCCGAGGCTGGGTTGCGTAGCCGTCGCCCCGCCCACCGCTTCAGTCCCGAGCCCCGAAATGTCCGTCTGCCCATGAGCTTGACAGCAACCGGAAAGGAGTCTCCCGGCGGTCAGCCCGAGGCCGGAAGCGGAAGTGCCGGGCTCTACGGTGGAAGGAGCCCGGGTCTGGCGGCGGGGTGTCTACTGTTTTCTCCGCGGGGAAGGCGTTTACGTGGTATGTTGGTGCTCAAAGCCCTGGGCAGGAATCCGGGAGCTGCAGGCAGTCCTAAGGGCTCCGGCAGGGGTCCGGGAGGGGCCTGGCCCGCGGGCAGCCCGGTCACAGGTGCGGAGGCCCACCGTCCCTCCCGGGAGCCCGTTTCCTCCCCTGGGCTGCTCCTCAGGTCGGCCCCACGCTGTGGTTTCCTCCCAGCTCTGGATGCCGCTCTCCGCTCCCCAGAGAGTCCCCGATCCCCCTCACTGGGTGTGACTTTGTGCCTGGGGGATTTCTAGCCCTGTCTGCACGCATTGTTTTGGTTGTTACAACTGGGAGTGGGGGGCTGCCGGCATCCAGTGCCGGGATGCAGCTTGCTGTTAGCATACTACGGTGCACTGAGCAGCGCCCTCCAGTAAAGAAAGTGTCATCAGCAGTGCCGGGCTGGGAAATCCTGCTCTGGGGCCTTGAATCCTTGAATCACCGGTGGAAATTGTTTCAAAGTCAGCCGAGTTACTTGCAGAGTCCCTAATCGACAAGCCGTGTCTAGTGTCTGGAGTCGCCAAAAAAGCCTCTCTCCAGGCAAATGAGTAACTGAGCAAGTCAAATGCGCACAGCACGAAGCTGCTTTCTCCCACCTGGGGAGGAGATGCCTGGATGGAAATCAGAAAAATCCAGCCACGGGCAACAATTACACAGTAAATAAAACCATTTCCACCCCCCACCCCCACCCCCGAAAAGGTGCATGGGGTGGTTTTTCTATCCACCAGTTGTATTACTTCCTATAAAAAGGCTTCTAAAGCAATCTTCCTACCTTTTTTCCCCCTCTCAGACAAGAAAAGCAGCTCCAGCTCAAGTTTGTGTTGGAATCAGCCTCAGGGTCCACCTCTCCTTCTCCAGGATCTGTGGGTTTCTGTGTGATCAGGTGAGTACACTGTGGAGCCTGTTAGAACAGGTGCCAGCAGCCTCCACTGCGCAGAGGAACTGCTGGTCAGCTTGCTTGTGCCCAGGTTGTAAACACAAGGAGCCGCTACGAGGGAGGGTATCTTTAGAAAAATTATTTACGTTTTGGTGGATTATATTTACAGAAAAGATGCTCAGGTGTGTATGGCTATATGTGTTTAAATAAGTCAATAAATACAGTTATATGCAGATAAGCACACATTACACAAACATGTAAATAAATATGTGTAAGAGAAAAATACGGATTTTCTTGCATTCTGTAATACTAAAAACTTCAGGGTTTTATTCATGAGCATAAATATGTACGTTTTTACATGTGACTGTCGTATTACAAGTCATCTCACTAAAGATGAGCAGAACTACTCAGCAGTGATCCTCCGACCTGTTCAATTTGACTTCTAAAAGTCCTGTAAATCCTCCACAAAGTTTAAAAATATAAGAGCATCTGGGGGGAAAAAATGATTTGAAATTATTTATATTTACTGTAATAGAAATTTAAAATTGAATTAACCAGCAGCCAGCCGTAAGTGGATTTTTAAACAAGTGGGTTTTAACTATTAACGTGGGGTCGAGAGCTCTTTGCCTGTTGGTTACCACGTTGTCCTAGACATGGCAGCTTCTCAGCTCTTGGGCACGCTTGTCTGCCCACATGGAGCCGTGAAGCAGCAGACGACTGGAATCACGGGAGGTGCTGTTATAAACAAAAAGTCCGGTGGAGGAAACTGGGAGTTCCGAATATTGTTACTTACTGGCCGAGCTGTGACAGCCTCTCATGGGCTGGGGGAGGAGAAAATCTTCCTCCTGCTGGAGAGTAAAGTTCGAGCTGAAGCAGCATCTTTACTGATTTGCAAGGTCTGGTCTCCTCCCGCTGGGTCTGCAATTGAGGAGCGGTGGGGCGTGAGAGCGCCCCCTGCTGTCCTCCTCATGGCATGTCAGTGAGGGTTCCCTTAATTAATTTTCACAAATTCTGTGTGAGCAGGAGGCTGATGTGATTAGCCTTTGCTCTCCGCACACGGGTTCAGGTGGACTTCCGGATTAAGGGTGAAGACTTAAGGGGAGAGAGAGGAGGTGTTAGGCAGGAGTTAAGGAACAGGATGACATTCCCTAGGCCTGGATGACAGCTTTTGCGGAGCAGTAAAGATGCAGAAAGAAGAAACCTAGTTCAGAACCGAGACGGTGTAGAGATGCTTTTCATTCCTGTGCCCATTTGTTAGATGGCCCAGGGCACTTCCTGCGCTTCAAGCTCCTGTCTCCGCACACCTGCAGGCACACACACCCCCTCACCCCCGCAGGCCTGTGTTTTACCCCCACTTTTCCACTCACAGTTCCCTCGTTCCGGTCCTGAAAAAAGTCAAGCCTGAGTATGTGTGGGGCTGCCCTGGCTACTGTGGTGGCCACTGGCCACATGTAGCTAGTTGAATAAAGCCAGTGAAAAATACAGTTAAAAATTCATTTCCTCAGTCTTACTGGCCACATTTCAAGGGCTCAGTGGCCACATGTGCCCTGGGGCTGCCATACTGCACAGAAAAGAATTATGTAGAGTTGGAGCAGAATCACCAAGCCTGGGCCATGCTGGTATATAGGGACCCCTCCCCTCTGACCTTCCAGCACCAGCTTAAATCCAGGGGCAGGAATCACTGAATCTGTAGATTGAACAGAGACCCGTCCTGCTTCCAGGAGACTTCAGCTCCCTAAAGACCTTGAGGGGGTGCTCAGGCCTGAAAGGGCCCCTCCTCCGCCTGCTTCCTGGGAATGTGGCTGGATCCCAGCCCTCCTCTGGCCTCTGCTCAGTGACCGTAACTCTTCCTAACTGCGGGACGGGTCCCTATGGGGGAGAAAGGAGACATCCTTTGCCTGCAGAGGGTAAGGAAGTTCTGAGGCAGTTTTCTGGGTCTCTTGGACTCCCAGCAAGGCTTCAGGGAAGGTTTGGCATGAGAGGCGGTCGGAGTCTAGGACTGCTGGAACAAATTGCCACAAACCTTGTGGCTTAAAGCTACACAGATGTGTTCTCTTGCCATTTTGGAGGTCAGAAATCCTAAATGGGCCGTCAGAGCTGCCCCCATGGAGGCTCAGGTGGAGAACGTGTTCCCTTGCCTCTTCTGTGTTGTAACGCCGCCTGCAGATTAGGAATAGTATCGGTGCAGTTGCGATCTACTCCTCTGTTCTGTGAGTAAGACCTTTGGTGATTCCACCAAGAGTATCGTCCTTTGAAGTGGTAGTGCTGGAATCCAAATGATACTGTGTCGAATGGGTGATGAGGACATGAGACAGAATGAGAACCCTTCGTGGTGAGGGAGGGCAGCTGGACAGCAGGGAAAGAAATACAGGCATTCAGGATAGGTTTATTTCACTGCTAGGAATACTGCATCCCGGTTACATGGTGTGAGGGCGTCCAGAGAATGGGCGCTTGCAGCAAAGGGCGGACATAGACAGTCGATAGTGTGCAGCTCCTAGAAAGGCAGGCGGGACGGAGCCCCGAGCAGGGCTGCGGAGCCAGGCCTTGCAGAGACAGGGAGGCAGTTCCTGGTTTAGAGCAGGATGGAGGGAGGAAGCCGTGGGGCGGATTGTCGTTCTGGGGGCCAGACAGGAAGGTAGCTTCCTTCTCAGGAGGATGACTTTGGGAAGGAGGCCGCGGGACCACCTGCTGAGAGCGAGGGTGTGCGCTGCCTGACACGCCATCCCAAACCTGGAGATTCAGCGCAAGAGAATCGGGTATGGTCTGTCACTGCTTCTGCGGTTCAGGAGTTCAGGAGCGGCCTAGCTAGAAGGTTCTGACTCAGGGAACTTCAGTGAGTCTGAAGCGAGATACCAGCCGGGGCTGCAGCCATCCGAGTCTCGAGTGGCGCTGAACGGGTCACTGCCAAGGGCATTTGCTCACCAGCTGGCACCGGTGCTGGCTGTGCGGGGGAGGTCTCTAAGGTGGTCTGGCCACAGGCCTGTCTTTGAAACACGGGCAGTCGGCTGTCCCCCAGCGGGCGGGGCAGAGAAAGGCAGAACTGCAGTGCCTTCTAGGGCCTCGCCCGGAAGTCGCCCGCGGTCTGCTCTGCATTATTCTGTTGGTCACGCAAGTCAGCCCTAACTGAGCGTGTGGGGTGTGGGTGCAGGGGGCTCGGGTCATTAAGGCAGTTTAGGCAGTGGGTACCTTAGGGGAAAAGGTGAGGCTGTGTGAGCTTTAAGAGGGGTAGAGAAGGCTGGATGGGGAGGATTGTCCTGTGGGGCCGACGGCCCTTTGCCTGTTGGTGGCCGTGCTGTCCTAGACACGGCGGCCTCACAGCTCTTGGGCAGGTCCGTCTGCACGGATGGGGCCCGAAGCAGCAGACGGTGGGAGTCGTGGTGGGCTGGAGCTCTGCTGGGAGGAGGGATAGGGAACCCCTGTTGAAACGGGGACAGTGAAATCCAAGCTGGGCGAGCAGATGAGGGGCGAGGGTGGCAGACGCGGAGTCATCTGTGTGGCTGAGAACACACGTAATACAAGAAAAAAATCAGTGTACAAGGTAGACGTTTAGGCATTTGGGTACCAAGGGAGGTATTTCTGAATGCTTCTTCCAGGTGGTGGAACACTGCCAGGTGATGACAACGTCTAGCGTGGGGCACGGGTGGGGGGCAGACATGTGACTCGGTGAGGCTCATCCTCGTGGGCTCTGACGTCATCCGAGTAGAGGTGGGAAGGCTAATGGGAGTCAGGTGCCCCAGTCTCCAGTAAAGAAGGGGCTGCAGCTGGGAGTGTGTTGGTGACAGCCACTTGGACATGAGGAAGGTGCCCTGAGCCTCATCCCTTTACAGTGGACGGAGCAGTAACGTATTGTGGTATCGTTGTGGACAGAAGAAGACAAGTTCCGCCGTCACGTGGCCCTGAGCCCGGCACCCACTATGCAGAATAAGGGCCAAGGATCTAAGGCAGCACTTGAATTTTGGAAGGAGGATGCAGTGCGTGGGCTGAGGCAAGCCTGTCCTCCGTTGCCCTGAGAGGCAGAGAGGCTGGGAGGACTTGCTGTTCTTCCCTGTCATTCCAGAGCCTGGCCTGAGCGCACCGTGGGGAGAAGGGGAGACGTGTCTGCCTGGTTTCCAGGCAGGTTTCTGTGGAGTCAGGATGGCAGCCGTGGTCCTGTCCCCCACCTGCAGTAAGTTGTGGGGTCCTCAGAGCCCAGGTGTTAGAGGCCCGGAGCAGGGAGTGGAAGGGCTGAGCAGTGAGCCGGGGGCTGGGGGTAGTAGCCCCAGGAGCCCAGGGACACCGGGGCCTCATCATACCTCCAGATCTTCCTATAAACTTGGTGAACTAACAGTCCTGTCCCCGGGAACTTCGAGTTCCTCATCTGTGAAATGGGAATAATAACCTCTTTCTCCAGCGCAGTAAGGTGGCCCTGTTTTCTGGCCCTGGGTGAGACAGGGCTCTGCTCTGGTTTCCCATGAAAGCCGTGTGTGCATGCACGGTTGTGTGTGTGTGTGTACACGTGTGTGCACTGGGGTACGATCAGCGCCGGGTGGCTGGGGGCCCCTCCAGCTCTCTGAGTGTTAGCACACAGAACGAGCCTGCATCCTGTGGCTCATTTCTTCTCCAGCTCCGTCTTCCCTGTGCCCGGCCTCGCCTCCAGAAGGATGCACAGAGGAGGAAGCCTTGGTTCACGGCTTCCTGACACACTGGTTACCGGTGAGTCAGCTATTCCTGTCCCCGAGCCATTATTCCTCTGTGACCTGGGGCCTCTCAGCCCGGCCAGGTCCTCAGGCATCTGATGGAGAGACAGGGGCTGTCTGGACAGCGTCAGTGTAGGTCAGCATTCGCTGCATCGCAAGGCTGCCTCCAGGCTCACGTGCTGCTGAGAGCTTCAGGGGGCAGCTAAGGACATAATGTCCTGCATTTATGCAATCAGCGATCATCAGCGGGGGCTCATTCACGTACAGAGCAAGCATTTCTCTGAGTTCGGTGATGGCCCAGGCCTACGGTCAACCTTGGAGACGGAAGGAAGTTACATTGTTTTGGAAAAAGAAAATCAGCCAATGTTAGAGGTGTGTCTAGTCTCGGGAGCGGGTGTCCAGACAGGAGATGAGCCCTGGGGGTTGAGCCCAGAACCCTGCCTGCCAGCTTCTGCTTTTGATTCCATGTCCTTGTCCCTGTCACCCTCAGCCCTTCTCCTGTCAGCGTTGGTGGGGGTGGCCCTTAGCCAAGCCTTGATGTTTGTGATGGTTTAGGACTTAGTGACCTTGGAGGATGTGGCCGTGGAGTTTACCCGGGAGGAGTGGGCACTGCTGGACCGCTCGCAGAGGACGCTGTACCGTGACGTGATGCAGGAGAACCGCAGGAACCTGGCATCGCTTGGTAAGCCTGATGCGGTTTCTGCATCTATATCGCGGCTCACGCAGCAAGACCTTTTCCCTTTTTTATAATGGAAGTAACATTCACATAACATAAAATTCACCATTTGAACCATTTTTAAATGTACAGTTTAGTGGTTTTTAATGTAATCCCAGTGTGTGTCACCATCACCACTACCTAATTCCAGAACATTCTCACCGCTCTTAAAGGAAACCTGTATGCATTAAGTGGTCAATACCCTCTACCTTCCCCCCCGCTGGCCACCACTGTTTACTCTGCGTCATTCGGATTTGCGTATTCAGAATATTTCTTATCATCAGAATCAGAAAACATGTGCTCTTTTGTGTCTGGCTCTTTCAGGCAACACAATGTGTTTAAATGTTTAGCCACATTGTTACATGTACGAGTCCTTTATTCCTTTTTGTGCCTGAATAATGTCCCATTTTATGGATATACCACATAGGGTTTATCCCTTCATTGTTTTATAAACATTTAGGTCATTTCCACTTACTAGTAGTTTTAGTAGTGCTGCTGTGAATATTTGTGTACAAGTTTTTGTTTAAACATCTGTTTTCAGTAGTCTAGGGTGTACATCTAGGAGTGGAATTGCTGGGTCACATCTTACTATGTTCAGCTTTTATTCAGAGCTGACCTGTTTTCCATAGCAGCTGCACCAGCGTACGAGGGTTCCAGTTTCTCCACATCTTCCCAACATTTGTCCTTTTGATTGTAGCCGTCCTCCTGGGTATGAAGTGCTGTCTCGTCTTGATTTGCATCTCCCTCATGACCAGTGACACTGGGCATTTTTTCATGTCCCTGTTGGCAATTAGTATATCCTTGGAGAAAAGTCTGTTCAAGTCCTTTGCCCATTTTTAAAGTCAGTTGTTTTATCTTTTGCTCTTGGGTTGCCAAATTTTGGTACGGTCTGAATACTAGGCCCTGACCTGAAACATGACGTGCAAATAATCTCTCCCATTCTGTGGGGTCTTTTCGTTTTCTTGGTAATGTCCTTTGACTCACAAAGGCTGGGTTTGAGTTTGAGCATGTGCCCAACCCTGGGTAAGCACATGGCTTTCTAGATTCAAAGGACTACTTGGGAGCTTTTCAAAAATTCCCCTAAACATCCTATGCTACACTTTTCCTCCCAAGCTGTCTAGTCTTTTGTTTTCTCCTGGGTTTTTTTTTTGTTGTTGTTTGTCTCAGGTGGCGGCGGCAGCTAATATCTTTTTTAAATGTCTTCAGCACATGTCCACTGGGAGGCCAGGTCAGCTCTTGGAGAGTGTGGGATTAAATCCATAAAGGCAAGCCCTTCGAGCCAAACCTTCACAGAGGTCAAAACGAACAGTCAACATTCCTTGAGAAGAAGGTCCACCGTCCCTCAGTGCTTGGAATGTGGGCCCTTGTCTTCAAAAGGTCACAGCCAGAGTGGAATAGAGGCTGAGATGAGGGTCAGTTAAAGTGGCAGCTGTTTTTTATCTTGATGAAGCCTCTTCCTGGATGCTGTAAACTTACTTTTAGTAAGTTTCCAGAGTTGTGGTCCAGTTGACTGTGACGGTTTCCACTAGTGTTCCCTGTTTCTGTAGAGGGATGGATTTTGGACTCGGTATTTCTGGGTTGTTGCAAGTCTTTCTGAAGCACTTCCATGTCCCTGGGTCTGTGCTGGGTTCAGGGGGTGCAGTGGCGAGTGAGGCAGACGAGGTCCCCACCCCAGTGAGGCTCTCTGTCCGATGCCTTTCCTGTGAACTGGAAACCCGTTCCTTACCTTGACTGTGTCCTCCATGGTGAAAAGCTCTAATGCTTCTGACGTGTGTATTTAAACTTGGGCAAGAGCTTCGGGACCACCTGTGGCCTGTCACCTGGGTATCTCGTGAGGGTGCTTGTGGTTTTGTTCCCCGAGAGTCCCTGTACTCATTAGGGTTTGGGTGTACGGATCCCACTGCCCCAGAGGTCGCACGTGCCTGTGTTCAGATTTGTCGGACTCAGTTTCATGGAGTTACCTGTTGCCCGCAGAGCGCCCCCTACGTCATGTGTCTTTTCTCTGTGAACAGGGTACCATGTCGACAAGCCCAGTCTGACCTCCTGGCTGGAGCAGGAAGACCAGGGGATGGCAGAGGAGAGAGGAACTCTCCCAGGTGCCTGTCCAGGTGAGCGGCGAGCGGACGGAAGTCTTCGTGAGGAATTGCTCTGGGCTGGTGACTCTGGTTGTGGGGGGGTCACGTTAAGAAGTGCCGATCAGGGGGCTTTGTTAAATACCTCTCTTTTTTTTTTTTTTTGACAGAGATGGCCAAGAATATTTGGTATGAATTTTCCTCTTGTGCCTTCTTTCCTCTCTCTTCAGTTTTGTGTTCAAAATCTCTCACTTTACTTCGGACTTGGAGAAAAACAGACATCCCTTTTTTTCTTTTTGAAATTTAAGGCTCATGTGACCTCTCTGTCTAGTGCCTTCATGCTTGGCATTCCTGACGATTCCTTCTTTTGTAAATCTCTGATCAATTTTAATCCTCTTTGAATCATTTTTTAACGCCTACAATTTTCATACTCACACCCCAATCACTGCAGACTCCCCCAAAAACCCCAATGCCTCAGAGTCTGCTGTATTCAGATGTGCACTGTCCTATTTCTTTTCTCCAATTTAAACTTCTTTTCAATTTGTTGCAGGTTTGGAGACCATACTTAAAGCCAAATGGTTAACTCCTAAGAAGCATGTTCTTAGGAAAGATCATCCTAACGGTGTAAAAGCGGTAAGACTAACATGAATGATTTCTAGCTTTTCACAGTGGGAGAATTCCTTAAGTGAGAAAAACCACAAAATGGACAGGAGGGTTTTTTTATTTTTATTTTTTTATTAAGGTGTCATTGATACACACTCTTATGAAAGTTTCACATGAAAAACATTGTGGTTACTACATTCATCCATAATATCAAGTGCCCCCCACACCCCACTGAAGTCACTGTCCATCAGTGAAGTAAGACGCCATGGTCACCAGTCTTCTCTGTGCTACACTGTCTTCCCCGTGACCCCCTACATACCATGTGTGCCAATCATAATGCCCCTCTGTCCCCTTCTCCCTCCCTCCCCACCCACCCTCTCCCCTACCCCTCCCCTTTGGTAACCACTAGTCCCTTCTTGGAGTCTGTGAGTCTGCTGCTGTTTTGTTTGGATAGGAGAGTTTTTAAAGGAAAGTATCATTTACAAGTGAGAAATAGGATGTCTGGTGAATTTGGAGAAATCTATGTTAGCTCCAAACTTGTTTCTTAAAGTTTTTGCAACTAAATCTTTCTTTAAATGTGACTAAGACACTGACTCTTGATATATAAAGTGGTCTTAAATTCATCAGAAAATGCTCTGTGAATGTGCTAAGAACCATGGCCAAGCATCTGTCTTTGTTGACATCTAAGAGCTCAGATGGAGAAGAAGCCATATACAAGCACTGAAAGTAGCCAAAACATCAATGATAATAATGTAACTGAATCCCTGGGCGAGAGAATTCATGTGCCAGCATTGAATATTAAAAATACCATAATTTATAGTTATCATTCATATCTTGGTCAACAGGAGAGAAATCATCTTGGAGTGAAACTCAATGAATGTAATCAGTGTTTTAAAGTCTTCAGCACAAAATCTAACCTTACTCAGCACAAGAGAATTCATACTGGCGAAAAACCCTATGACTGCAATCAATGTGGGAAGTCCTTTAGCAGCCGGTCTTATCTGACTATTCATAAGAGGATACACAATGGAGAGAAGCCGTATGAGTGCAATGACTGTGGGAAAGCCTTCAATGACCCCTCGTCCCTGAGACTGCATGTGAGGATTCACACGGGGGAGAAACCGTATGAATGTAACCAGTGTTTTCACGTCTTCCGCACCAGCTGTAACCTCAAAAGCCACAAGAGGATTCACACAAGAGAGAATCACCACGAGTGTAATCAGTGTGGCAAGGCCTTTAGCACAAGGTCCTCCCTTACTGGACACAACAGTATCCATACGGGAGAGAAACCGTACGAGTGCCAGGACTGTGGGAAAACTTTTAGGAAGAGTTCATATTTGACCCAGCACATGAGAACTCATACTGGGGAGAAGCCCTATGAGTGTAATCAGTGTGGCAAGTCCTTCAGCAGTAGCTTTTCCCTTACTGTGCACAAGAGAATTCATACCGGTGAGAAACCCTATGAATGCAGTAATTGTGGGAAAGCCTTTAATAATCTCTCAGCTGTTAAGAAACATGTGAGAACTCACACTGGAGAGAAGCCCTACGAATGTAATCATTGTGGAAAATCTTTCACCACTAACTCTTACCTTTCAGTGCACAAGAGAATACATAATAGGTGGATATGAGCACAATAACTGGGAAAGCATTAGATGACCGTCGTATCCCTCAGACAGCTGGCAGTAACTTGCGCTTAATGTAAGAGACATCTGTTGCCACAGAACACGCGTTCCTCCAAAACATAATGGCTTCAAGCAATATATATTTATTATATCACAGTTTCTGGAGGTCAGCAGTTTAGAAATGGCTTCACTGTGTAGTTGTGGCCCAGGATCTTTCATGAGGCTGGGGTCAAGATGTCAGCTGCAGCAACAATCATCTTAGTCTTTGGCCCTGAAGAGTCCACGTCCAAATGGCTAACTCAGCATGCCTGGCAAGTTAGTGCTGCTTGTTGGCAGGGAACCTTCCTTACCTCACTCTCCACGGGGCTGGGTATCTTTATGGTATAGCAGCAGGTTCCCCTCAAAGCGTTTGAGCTGGAGGGAGCGAATGCAGAAGGCACATGTCTTTTGTGACCCAGCCTGAGCAGGACATAGCACTTCTACCATACTGTATTGGTCATGCACACCAAGCCTAATGCAACATAGGGAGAAACTTGGCAAGGTGGGTGTACCTGGAGACATCATTGGGAAGCACCTGAGAAGCTTGCTGTGAAAACGGTGAAGAAAGTCCTTCAGACCCTCATCCTTTCAGTCTATTTGACATGAAGTAGCATTCAGCTACCCTCATGTTCATGCACTCAAGAGAAACCTCGTAAGTGCAATCTTCGTGGTAAGCCTCTTCCAGCTCAAACTGAACCTCATGTACGCCAAAGACTGCATATGGGGAGAAACGAAGGAATGCGGTAGCTTTAGGGAAACGAGTGGTATCTCTACGGGGTCATGTGAACATTAATGCTCGTGAATATCAGAAGGCAGAAAGAAGCCTTCAGGGACACTCAGCCCTCAAAGCACACATTGAGAAATCACTGCAGAAGACCACTTGTATAAGGAACGTGGAAAACCCTACAGCACCGGCGTTCCCCTTACTGAGTGAAAGACGGTGAGATACTCTGAATGCGCTTCCTCTGGGAAGCGTTGAATGCTGTCTCAATTTTTAAGAGACACGATTGATTCTGGAAAGAAAGTCCCGTTAAGTGTCATCGATACTGGAAAGCCTCTCATTTTTCCCACATTCCTTCGGAAACTGTGAGAACTCCCAGCAAAGAAACTTGTGAACCTAAAAAATGAGAGAAAGCCTTTAACAAAGACTCCTACATTAAGAAAAATATGAAATTCTTCCTGGATGCAAATGCTTGAGAGTGTATTAATTTTGGAAGATCTTCAGTGATTCTTGTTTTTGTTGACTTGTGTGAACTCGACAGTGGAAGGAAACCCTAGAAACGTGATAAATATGAGGATACTTGAGCTCTTTACTGAGTGGTCCCCAAATCATTTAAACTTGGAATGGAAAGTTAATGCTACGAGTGTGGGTTTACCTTTACCCATATGTCATCCTTAGGTTGAGCCACTAACTCATAGATTTTCAGTCTTTGGTTTTAGTATAAACATTTATGAAATTGTGTCCCATAGTTTTTCTATCTAATATGTTTACTATGATTTACTCTTTAAAAATAGCAATGCCTAGCATACTTGAAAAGGTATTTCTGAATATTTCCTGAATGAGTTTATCAGAGTGGAAATGACTTAATATTTATATATGCTTTTAAAAACACAATGGCATTTTCGTCAAGGAAGTGGACTTTATGATGTCCTTTATCTTTCTGTCCCAGGATGGCAGTTTTGGTTAGCTTCTTTCCCAGTGTCCCATTCTCCCTTACTCAAAACAATCTTTTGTTCAAGTTGTCAATGGTTAGTATTGAAAATACTCAACCTTCAGGGCTTCCCTGAAGCCCAGAATGGTGGCGTCTTGTCTGCTGGCATGAGAGGCAGGTCGAAGTCACTAGGGGAGTGTCATCTGGCTTGTTCGCTTTCCTGTTCTGTCTCTGGAAAGTGGACTCAAGGCCTAGAGTTGGAAGAGCTATATTTTGATGATGAAAAGAAACAGTGTGACAAAGAATCCTAGTGATACGGGTTCCCCACAAGCCTGTGATTGGCTGTATCAGTTCTGGACCTCTAACCCTTAGACTTTTCCTTACATGATTAAAAGTAACCTCTAGCTGGTTGATGCCAAAGTGATTTTGAGGTTTTTTTTGAGGCAGTGGTCTGTTAATGTCAAGGGGGATGTGATATCTAACTGGTAAACCTATTTGTTGGTCGGATTTTATAAATGCTTCAGTTTCTTTGAAAACAATGTGTATTTTCTAATTTTTACATAAGAGTATATACCTATTAACTTAAGGTAATTGTGTGTCCAGATCTAGTATGTACCTAAGATTTTTGTCTTCAGACTTCTTTAGCAATAGATATTAAAGCTTTCTTTCTGCCATGGGTGTGGAATAATAGATTTTTTTTTTGTTTTTTTTTTTTGCTGTTTGTCATCTTTATGTATTTTAGGATTAGTTTTTTTAGTGAATTTTTCCTTTTTCTGTAGGGGCCATATTTATTTGTAGTGAAGTATTTTGATATATCAGTAAATCATTGAACATTTATATAGCCCTTCCCATACACCAGGCACTCTTCTGAATGCCTTACAAGTATTAACTTATTAAATACTCAATATAAGCTTAAGAAATACGTGCTATTATTGTCCCCATTTTACAGATGAGAAAACTGGCATGGTACACTTATGTTACCTGTCTGAGTTGACTGGCTGGTAAATGTCAGAAGTCAGATTTGAACCCAGACAGTCTGTGCTCTTTAACTGCTAGCCAATTTATGGGTATATTCTATATGCCAAGCACTGTTTGAGGTGCTAGTATCTATAGCAATGAATGAATCTCAAGTTTTGCTCTTGAAGCATTCTGGTATGAGAAGTACAAATTACAGGAAAATCAAGAAGATGTAAGATTTTTGTGGAAGAGTAAAGAAAGCATTGTCGGATAGTTAAGAGGAGTTGGGATCTCGCTATTTTGTATAAATCAGGAAAGAAACATCTCTTAATTTTGAGGGGCAGACACCTTACTGAGTTGGGACCATGAGTCATGTGAGTTTGTGTGGCCAGGGCAGTCTTGGCATGCAAAGGATGTGGTCAGAGGCTTGCTGGGTCCTCATCTAATTGGGTTTTGTGTGTGACCGGTAGGACTTTTCCTTCTGCTTTCAGTGAGTTGGCATATGAGAGTCCAGGCAGGCAACGACAGACTCACTCAGACTAGGACAATTCAAGTGGAGTTTCTTGAAGGGGCTACTTGCAGAGTGGTGAACAGTATGTAGGAATTCGTTAATGTATGTAAAGCACTTATGAGGCCTCCTGGTATATAGGAAACATTATATATAATTTCACCTTTTGTTATGAATGGGCTAACATTGATTGTAATATACTGAACAAAATAAGCCACACAAAAAGTAAATATTGTACAATTCTATTTGTGTGAATTTCAAGAACAGACCAAAAATCTGTGATACGAGAGAAAGAGCAGTGACTGCATCTAAGCTCAGGGTACGTGGGAGGGGTTAGGCAGGGGCAGGGATTGTCTGGGAGGGGGCACGAAGGGACTTCATGGGGTAAGGAGGATGTGTTAGGTCCTAATAGGAGTATAGGTTACATAGATGGATGCATTTGTCAAAATGCAGTGAACTAGATACATGCGAGACCTGTGCATTGCACTGTATGTAACTTATACCTCAATTTAAATCAGATTCACTTTACTTAAGGAAAGAGCTAAAGACAAAAGGTCATCTATTGTATGATTCTACTGTGTAGCATTTGGGAAAAGTCACAACTGTAGAGAAGAGCAACAAAGCAATGGTTTCCAGGGGCCAGGAGTATGAGAAGGGGTATTGATATATTAATAAATTATCATTGTTAATAAATAAAGAGGCAGCACAGAGGAATTTGGACGTGATGGAATCGATCCCTCACGACGGTGTTCATGTTCCCGTGCACATCATACTCGGTCATGAGTGTTGATTGATACACAGCTCTGTGCATTTGTCAAAACCTATAGAACTGTACACCACCAAGAGTGAAGATTACTGTAGGTTAAAAAGCTTAATTCCATCGGGCAGCAGAGGGAATGTGACATGGAATACCAACTATGACAAGTGAGCCTAACTGTATTACAAATGGAAAACATAACTACAATGAAGGAAACCAAAT